GAAAAGTTCCAGCATATCATAGAAACAAAGCTTTCAGAGGTCAGCAGGTCTGCACTAAACCACTAAACAGTTACTGGATGAAAGCTGTTTGGATACTGCATTTCCTTTCTTCATGTTCACTCTGCAAGAACTGCTGGAACTGTGAACCTGGGACCAGGCTCACAATGTCTTATGTTTTCTAAATACTCTTAGTCACCCTAATGAGATTTGCTGTTTTGCAAGACTTCTACAGAAGTAGTTTTTCCATACACAAAGGAGGACACAGCTTCACCTGTTACTCATTTATATTGAAAGAAGCTGTTAACACCTTGACTACATTAACAAGGTAATGCGCCTGCAGACCAAAGTAGAAAGTGATTCTGAGAAACCAGGTCAGGACTGGAAAAGGGACCAACTTTCCAGATGATGGGAATTCTACCATGGGAGAAAGAAAAAATAAAAAAGCTAAACAGGAGGAAGTTCTCCAGTAAACATGATTTGGGGGACAATTACTGTTTCAAAACAAGCAGAGAGCACCACAAATTTTTCTGGCAGTGTTTTTCCCACAGAAAAACTAAGGTAGGAGTCAAAAAAACATACACCTGCGTTGACTGTGTTGATCAAAGTGCATTTTTAGACACAAAACTGAGTTTATAAGAGCACTCTTTCTCTCAAAATTGGAGACCTGGATAGATTTTGGCAAACTTGGGCTTACTGAGGAGAGTAAAAACTTCCAACTACAGAGATACTTCAGTGTTCATTTCTGGCTATGAAGCTTAAGAGTTTGACTTGTACTTTTTCAGATGAGAAAAACAGACTTGGTTTCTGGCCAAAAATTTAGTAATTTTCTCCACTTTATGGATTTGGCAGTTTGAACAGCCTGAATATACTCACTTAACAAATCAATATATTCTCAGTGAAAAAGATGCCTAGCAAAACATCATCAGTGCCTTCAGGTTAATTTGTCTAACATAACAATTCCTGGAAAGTAATGACATTGTTTTTCTGTTCTTAAGTCTGATTTTGACAACAACCGAATTTCTCTCTTCCTGAAGGTGTCCTCCTTATTTCAAGATCTTAAGTATGTCTTCCTACATTAGCATTCTTCTGCTTGAAAGGCATTCTGCCTTTCAATAATATACACTTCCAGCTGAGTGAAATCAAGGAGGGACTGGATGCATGGATAGCAGATTGTCTGCAACTTACTAGTTTTTATATTGATGTAATCACACCTGCTACACAGAGCTTTTAATGAACAGGAACAGATAACAGTTGCAGGACATGGCCCACACACTGCACAAAGCAGTAATCACTCCTTGATGAATCCTCTGCATTTGTTCCTCTGGTGAAAGCCACCTGTGTTTCAGCCATGGTGATTTGATTCATACATTCAAATTCACACCCCACCCATGCAAGCCACACTTTGTCACTGTGGTTGTTTCACAACTGCTACAGCCAAGGCCAAAACGACAGCAGTAGGCTCTTCCCAGCATCACCTCTTCCAACAGCATCAGCTTTCCCTGCAGGGCAAGAAGCTCCACAGCTCTGCAGTCAGCTCTCTCACCATCTTATCTGTCAAATTCTGTAAAGCACTCCAATGTGAAAAGGGGTGATAGCAGTGCTCTACTGTAATAAAAAAGGCTGTTTTCTAAAGGACCACTACACTTCAACTGAACCCCTCTGGGCAAGCCCATATACTTATGTGCCATCTGGGTGGAGATTTCCCTCTCTCTGAAGCTCCTGCTTCTGGTAAACTGCTAGAAAAGCCAGATACCCATAACAGCTGACTTAGGAACTGCTGTAACCAGATGACTTCCACAGCTTGTCTGTTTTCAAGGAATCTGTCCAGCTCTCAATCTTGCTCTTTTCTGACTCTATTTTTTTGACCATTAAACAAGCTGAAGGTATCTCCACAATGAGAAACTGCAATTTTTAGTTTAAAGAAATACATGAGTCAGGCCCTGGAGTACATTTCTTGCACTTCAGTGGGAATTCTGAGCAAAGAAATGCTGACCCTCATCTCTTGCAGCATCACCCACTAAAGCTTTATGTAGCAGCAAGAATACATTTATATAAAAAAGAAATTACAAGGATCATTTTCTTTTCAGTTACCTAGAATATTTAGGATAATAACACAAATAAACCAGTCAAGCAAATTCCTCTTTAAACTAGATTTTATCTAAATTTAAACTAGCAACTCATTTTGGTCATTTGCTACTCATACTTCTCCATCCTTTAATCACTTTATCAGACAGAGAGCTTCATATCTGTAGATAGTATCCATTTTTATGAGAGCTCATTATTCCACTGACATCTCTGCTTTTATGGTTTCTAGACTTAGTCTTCTTTTATCCACATCTCCTAGCAATTCCTTTTAGCTTAACATCTTTTGTTGCTTTTCTACACAAAAATTTGTTCAAAGTCTGCCTTGTCTGAGCAGCAAAAGACAAGCCAGTCAATACTAAAACAAGCTCTTCAAATTCCTCAGATTTTCAGTTTCAGAGCTGGGGGAGGCTGTTCACTGACATGATTTACAAACTGATTTGTTTGGCCTTTTCTGGGCCACTGAATGAACTTGCTTTTCCACATCAGTGTATTCTTAGTACGGAACATTTCCACCTTTAATTCCGGGGTACTTGCTTCTAGTGAACTCTCAAAATGAGACCATTTTTATCACCAGTATGTGGAGTTCCTGGTTGATTTCAGTGATAGTTCTACAGAAAAACATCCACAGTATAATAAAAGACTTTTCATGAGTACTGTCATGGCCATGTATTTGAGTTGTGCTATTCTTGCTTTTCAAACAGCATGGGTGATCTTGCAAGCAACAATTACCTTGCAACACACACACACACACACGCACACACAGTCTTTTCCAGGACAACCTGCACATTCCCAAAGTTCAGGGTAAATCTTATTTAGCAGTTGTGATTGCAATTCCTGTTTTCCCTTTATTGACAGTATGACACTGCGCTCAACTATATAGAGATGGAGGTATGTAAAGCCTTGGCAAGAATCTGTCTTTGGAAAGAAGGGGCATGTGTCTTGATGCTAGCCAGCCCCTCCTTACCAACACCATTGTGCCACAGCAAGTTCAAAGAAGGGTAAATGGGGCACTGCATTTATGCAGTGATATGTGGAGCTTCTCGGAGAATCCAGCTGTAAGAGTCAAGTGAAGCGCACAACTGCAAAACCCATTAGCATCACTGTGGCTTTACAGACTGAGAATAACCACACTAGCTGCAGGCTAGTGTTGACAAAAAGCAACAGTAAGCAGTGGTAAAAGACAAGTAGATTACTTTAATTTTATTTTGTTTAAACTGCTACTTGTTGTAAATCTCAAAGAAGGCCTTGATTTCCTCTCTGCACTTTTTATGTAGCAGCAGCTCCTTCAACCACATAAACCAAGTGAGCCAATATTCTCTCTCAGAGTATTTCATGGAGTTTAGACTTCTCTGGAGGAGTAACAGGAGGATGAACTGAAATCACAGGCTATATAAACCAGGAATTATATTCCAGTCTTGAGTAACTGTGTCACTCTACCAATAAACTTCTGTAATGTCTTATATTGGATTTACCTGGAAGATCAGTAAAAAAAAAATTAGCCCAAAGCTTTTAAAGACTCCTGCCTAAATGTAAGGTCTCTTTTTATTCCACAGACCAGGAAATTTTATCAAACTCTTTCACAACGAACACAGAAACAACAGCTTTATGGCTTACAGTCAGAAAAGCACCAGAGAGGCATCTCATGACTTAATGAGACGAGGACAAGTGCAAGCAATAGGTGATGTTTCAGAAGCACATGGCACAGATTACTTCAGCGGAAACTCAAACATCTCACATGCAAGGCTTCAGCAACAGCAACAGCAGTGCTTCAGCAGCCAGAATATCAACTTTATGTCACCATGTGATTCAAAAGGAAAACAGAACTCAATAATGAACTTTGAGCAAACACAGGCATGACAGTTCTTATTGTAGCAGAAGAAAAAAGGACAAAGCCAGGGCAGAGAGGACACTCGGCACACCTCTGACTGAGAAGACACAAAATAATAGAAGTTGCTGTTAAGAATGACAACAGAAGTGAGGAGAACTACTCTGATGTCACCAGGGAGAGCTACTGGAACAGCAACAGAAACGAAGAAAAGAGGGGACCACAAAGTTTGAGAGCTATCACCTTCAAAATCAAAGTGAGGCTATAGTAGAAATTTTACTGCCCATGCCCTAAAGGCTTCTCCAGAAGATCAGTAATCCTGGGCAAAGCCTGGCCTGCCAGACAAAATCTTCTTAAGCCAGTCAGATAGAGGAGAACAATTTCCTTTGGCAACTCTTCATCAAAGACCTTACCAGTTTTTGCACCAAATGCCAGACTTATGTCTCATACCTTGCTTTCACTGACGTAAGAGGTGACATACATCTATATGTATTTTTAAATGAAATAAAAAACTATACCAAAGCAAGCAGAAAAACCTTTTCTCAACATGCTTATCCCACTTGTGAGAAAACAATCAACCCAGGACAGTCCTATTATATACTACCATTCCTGGGAAACATTAATGGTGATGCTGCAGTCACCATGTCCTGGAGATAGCAGAACTAGATTTAAGCAAATGATGCAGGTGCTCGTAATAATCTGTCTGTACTGGTAGGAATTGCAGCATAACTAATGTGTCCTCCTGAAGAATGGTGATTGCACCATAAGAATATACACAGCACAAGAACTTATACAGAACAGAAATACTCTGTATCTTGATATTTATGTAACCACATGATACATACTGCCCATTTTTTAAAATATCTTTGTGTTGTTTCATAGGAGAAACAGCAAACACCCCAGTTTAAATGATAATGATCCCAAAACTCCCTGCTGGACTTGCCCCTTCCAATTTGCCAGACTGAAATGGCAGGAAGGCAATGCAGCACAGCAGAACTTCCAGATCAGCATCTGAAAAGTTTCCCTTCTCAGCAGTCTTGTGATTTGAGATGCACACAGAACTGAGCACTTTGGAAGCAAGTCTTTAATATTTTAAGAGAGAATTCTTTATTCAAGGAACGTGCAATAACTCTTCCCGAACTATATGCAAAAATAAACCCCAAAATTCTAATGAAGATACAGAAGGAAAAAAAAAACAACAAAAAAAACCCCAAAAAACCAGCACAGTGGTGTTCCAAAATACATAATTCACAAGTTTAAAATTCAAGCACTCCCATCTGATGCCTCGAGCTCTCTTAAAATATTAAGAATCAAAGTCCTCCTGTAAGTGTATGGTGTATACTTTATTCTGAACCAGTGCCTTGGGAAAAGGTTACCACTCGGGGCATACATTTTCATCCCTTGTTTGCCCAGCAGACCACGAAAAATCCTGTTGCGGGACAAGATTTTATCATAGAATTCAAGGCCACCTCTGGCGTAGTCCTTGGAAAGCCTGGCTGCCTTCCTGTCGGCCCTGCAGTCCAGGTGATAGGTGACAGCGTCAGAAGAGACATAGAAGCAGAGCAGTCCTCCCATGGCAGTGACAAGGTTACAGAGGCTGCGGGGGATCACGGGGCCCGTGGATAACCCCAGAAGCAGCTTTAGAGCTCTCCCACAGACAAACGTCCCAGCCAAGCAAGTTGGAGCCACAGCTGCACTCACTAAAGGGCTGGCAGACTGCAAATACACAACTTCTCTGGCAATGGCAAACTTCTGAGCTTTAAGAGAAAATGTGAGAGCTTCTTTTAAAGCCACACCTTCACTGCTCTCCCAGTCTACTTCCTTGCCATTTATTACAACAACATGGTTGACTATTCCTTTTTTATCCTCAGCGGTGCTATCAAAATTAGGTGGGATGCCCACCAAAGAGCCTGAGGGCAGCCAGGGAATTCCAGCGCTCACAGGGTGGAAGCCAGAAGCTGCAAAGGCTCTGTAGGAGTCAGTGGACTTCACACCAGTATCCTGAAGGACATGCTGAAACACACCACAGAGCTGCTCGGAAAGCTCAGCTGGCTGCCCCTCTGACCAGCCCTCGTGCAACAGTTTGAATGTCTGCTCAGGAAACACATGATAGGAAAGGTTAGTGCCAAGCAGTCCCATGCAAGAAACGGCCACCACAGTGATCTTGTGCTTCTTTAACCACACAGATGCCTTCCGCAGAAACCGCACTGCCATAGTCAAATCCTAACCTGTTTGTGACACAAAATTAGGAATTAAAGTCTGCATAAATAGGTTTGTCATCTCTCTAGCAGGAAAAAAATCCCAAACAACCAAAACAAAAAACATGAGAAGAAGCAGAGCACAATAACCAAAGAAACATTTTTTTACATTAACAAAACATCTTTACAGAGGAAGAGATATGCAGTCATTTTTGGGCCTTGCAACACAGGATGATTGATATGAAGAATTAATTTCTCGCTTTCCTCCAGTAAATCAATTTACCGCAATAAAGACAACACTAAAGCTACCACACTTCCTCCTCCCCCAGCAATCAATACCCACCCTGTATTTACCCAACATACTTGTCTAGTCTTTGCTAGCACAATCCCACTCTTGCCTTCCACTATAGTCCACTTCCACTTCAGTCTATAGGTACTGAGCTCAGAAGGAGCCAATAATTAGATCAGTCTATGCCAACCTCCTCTACAGTGCAAAAATCAGTAACCTGAATAATAAAATCCAATAATCTGAGTTTGACTACAACTTTCAAAACAGGATCACATTTTGATTTGAAAAATTTCAGGAGGCAGAATTTTCCTTTAGGAGTTTGTTCTGATAGTCAAGCTCACTAGTGAAAAAAAAAACCCAAATAACAGAAAAAAACCAACTAACCAACCAAAAACCAACAAGAAATAGTATGTTTTTTTTCTACACTGTTTTTTTCTTTTCTTTCAGATTTCAACTTCCAGGCAGTGGTTCCAGCTTACTCAGCAAAAAGCTATTTTCAGAAAGCAGCATGCTTTCAGTAGCTTTAACTTTTAAAAATTTGTCTCTGAAATAATTTCTGACAAATACTATGTTCAATCTAGAGCAGAAACTGGGACATAAGTTGTTCCAGGGCTTACAACTACGTTGTGACTCCTTAAATAAGCAAATAAACTTTTAAACTTTCAAACCTGCCAACTTGTTCAGTTCAAGAGTCCTGCTTCCCTTGGGAAGCATCAGTTCTTTTTCTGATCCAAGCCATATTACACGATCTGCCCAGGAAAGCTCCAATTTCTTCTTAAAAGAAATTCTATTGGCTATAGAATTCCCACCTAGAATGATGCTACTATGAAGGTATGTATAGAAGTGAATTAGGCACCTAAATCCAACAGAAATCAGTGAAAACTGGATGCCACTCTTTCCATTTGCAGAGTCTCTTCTCTCAGAGCTTTAACAACGAGCTTCATAGAATCTTGCTGCAGCTGTTAAAGACACCAGTGTTTCCAGCTGTCCTCACAGGAAGCCGAGGTGGCAGGAGGAAATTGTGCTTTGATATAACAACCAAAGTCTTAGCGTGGAGTACCATCAAAGGTGGGTCTCTGCTGCTGGGCTTTGTATGGCAGCAGCTGAAGCAGGGACATATGCTCTCCTTCCACATGTGCGGAACAAGAACTTCTCACAGAGGGGTAGAGTGGACAACAGGGCTCTGTAACATCATCAAACAGCACTACAGGACGTGCCAGGATACACCAGTCATGACCAACAGCAAATGAGTGTTAACAACAGGGAAAGAAAAAGAGATTAATTTAAAGGTGGTGCGCTAATGATACATTATTACTACTCCTTCCTATGAAGATCTTTGGGACTGTAAATTCACCGGGGGAAGAATTATCTTGTTTAATGTTTATGCTGCACTGAACACACACTGAGTGCTTAATAAAAACAATGATGTATGTAACCATACAGTAATTTAATATGTATTTCTTAGTGTAATAACTAGTTATATTCTTACATTCTGCTGAAGACAGAACTGGTGAGGTTTTTGACAATATTATTTAAGAAAAACATGCTAAAGAGCCAAGAGCTTGGCTGAAACTTCAGGCTTCTCCTGAAATTTGGATGAAACCAAATTTCAGGAGAAAATTTCCTTGATAATAGAACTAAAAACTAGAAAATGGTAATACTTAAATGACCAGTCTAAGCAAACCTGGTACTCTAGATCTGATTGAAAAGGTCATGTCATTTACAGTGCAGGGGGAAGCACTTCTAAGGGGATGACTGTAGGGAGCCTATCACTTGATCCTCGTGTGAAGCTGAGGCAGGGACTTGACAGGTTTCTTCTGTCAGAGAATGCTCTCTCACTGGAGCTGGCTAACATAGTTTTAAGATTAGAAATGCTGCAAGGAAAAAAGTCCCTCTTCAGCTTACATTCACAAGGACAGACCACACTGAAAACTCTATTCTCTTTACTTGCATGATCAAATGTGATCTTGCATGTCAAACGCAAAAGTAAGCAGGAAATGCCACCGAGTATTTGTTTTCTCATAACAGTCAATACTCAGGAAAATAAATGGAAAACTGCCTACAACACATTTTAGTATTTATACTTTCAAACCTTCCCCAAGGTCAGTGCAGATGCTCAGCTCCTGCACATATCCCACTGCAACCCTAATCGGGTATGGCATCTTTATTTTTATTCATAAACTTTGTGCAATTTATGTATGAGGAAAGCAACCGGAAATTGCAAGGCAATTTATATGGCCCATATACTGCAAATTTAATCGTTTAGTAACCATGAAGCCTCCGCCACGCTTACACAGCGGCCTCCCCCAAATGCTGAAGTACTTTCACTCCCTGTGGTGTCATAGGCACTTAATTCTCACTGAACCCAGAGAACTCTAAGAGCTGAAGTTCAGGTGGGTTTGACATTCAGGCAGGTTTGGCCATAACACGTGTGTGTTACTGAATCGATTGCTTTAAAAACGCACGTACCCGAGGAGAAAACCCGGCTTAAAGCACGATAAATCACGAGACAGGACACGGGCCGGGCCCGCCTCCAGGGCTCGGGATGTCATGAAAATTAAAAATATAAAGAAGGAGGGTGGCAGAAATTAACAACTACGGGGTTCCGCTGCGGGAACCACCCGACCCCCGCCCGCCTAGCACCTACCGCGGGTCCAGGGCCGAGGCGGGGCTGCGGGCGGAAGGGGCGGGCGGAGGCGCCATGGCGGACGGGCGGGGTGAGGTTCCCCTCAGAGCGGCCCGGTGCTCCTGCTCTGTCACAGCTCCAGCCCGGCCTTGCGAGGTTCCCCTCAGAGCGGCCCGGCTGCTGCTGCTCTGACATAGCCCCAGCCCGGCCTCGGGAGGACGGACCCAGACGGACCCAGGGTGGGATCGCACCCGCTGCCCCTGCAGGTGAAGAGCAAGAGACACCCACGCCCAGCCCTCCAAGGGCAGCCGCAGCATGAGGCGGGTACTGCCGCTCCTCCCCGCGTCATAAATTAATTTTGTGCGCTTCTGTTCTGTGCTGTAACTCCCAGTGTTCTTCCTGCAGAATAGTTTATATCTGTGTTATTAACACAGTCGTCTCCACTGCAGGGCAGGAATGCTTGCCGGGAAGGCAGCAAGTGGCGGAGTTGGCATCCGTGGTGTAGGATTTGTTTTCTCTGTCATTCCTAATGGGAAAATAACACATGCAGGGATTTTTTAATTTGCTTTACAGTTACTGTTTGCTCAAAGCAGATGGCCGGTGTAGTTTCTCAACAAACCCGTGTGGATTTGTTGCTGGGCACTCAGAGAGCCCTGGAAAGATGTGAACTGCAGAGGATGTGGGTGGCAGAGCAGCACCCTTTGGAAGCACTGCCATTCGAGGGCAGGGCTCTGGGAAGTCCAGCTGTGCCCCTGGGATGTGCAGTCCTTGAAAAACAAGAATACAGAGTAGCTTTTGGCAGGACTAGGATTTTATTTGAGTAGGGGATAGTAAAAAATTGGCTTTGTCTCATTTATAGGAAGTTTGCACTCATGCTGGATGATTGTTTTAAAGTGTCCCTTCACACCACGCATTATTAATGTTATTAATACATTATTATAAGGTAATAATTTTTCTCTATCCAAATGGAAATTATGCTGGGTAATGGATTGAGAGGCAACAGATTAGAAATAAAAGCAAGCTGTTCTTACTTTCTGTTTATGATTAATTTTGACAGATCTTGCTTCCTTTCTAAAGGAATGCCCCTGACTGAAGCATTTCTTACCGGTAAAGGTTTAGTTCCCAAACATTTTAGCCTGACATTTGCATTCACTTGAAAGGATTAATATTGTAAACTGAATACTTAGGAGTTCTCATTCATAATAATGGGGTGTTTTAGGACTTTCATGAAGATATCCTAATGAAGACATTTATCCTATGTTTTTCCTACTATATGATCTGATTTTTAGAAATGCTAGTGCTAAACAGGCCTGGCTAGGCATAATCTGTTGTGAAAAGAAGCTGGTAATGACAACCTTGGTTTTAACTTCCAATAAACAGGTTGCTAATTGCTAAGAAAACACACTCCTTCATAACTGGGCACAATTCTACCCTTAGGTTATGGTTTTATGCAGCATGGCAAGGCAGATTAATAGTTTGCTGCCACCCAAAGGGTGAAGTCAGAGGAAAGATCCCACCTTTTTCACCATTTCCCCCTTTTTGCCGCTTTTTGTGAGCCGCTTTTTGCAAGCTCTGTCGTCCATCAGACCCTTTTACACACCACGTTTATCTCACTATTAGCAGAAAACATAGTAACAGACAAAAAGGCATCATTTTCTGCTAGGTTATCAAGCAAAATGGGAGCATTGAAAACTCTGAGAAGTGCCAAGGCTTTAATAAGGTATGAGGCAGCCAGAAGAAAAAAAAACAGCAACAAAAAAAAGCTTCACCTCCCTCTTTATGTAACAGCAAAAAGCTGTTACAGTCTTTGGTCTGCGTCCTCAGCATGAAGCTTCATCATCTACCAAAACTTAAAATTTGTAAGTTGGCGTTGATGTTCATACTTCATGCAGATGTACAAAGAAAAAGTGTATGTAGGTGATGATGGACAACAGACTCCCACTAACTGAAACACACAGAGACTCTCAGGCTTTTAAAATCCCTCATCACACTAAGACTTACTTATCCTGCTGGTGAATATGGAGAGAGGGTTGGGTGGGTTTGTGAAATCTGACTTTGAAATGTGCTTCTGCACCAGCTGGAGAGATCTAGAAAACAAAGATTTCTTACACTAAACCTCAAAAACCTGGCATTGCCTTTTTAGTATGGTTTCTCTTAAGAGGTTTATAATAAATATGATTGGGAAAAACACCCCAGCTTTACTAATCACCGTGTTGGCACGGTTCTGGTTTCAAGAAGCAGCTGTTACACCAAGGAAGGTGAAACAAGACTGAAGTGCACCCTGTTTTTGATGTACATACACCTCGTTATAGTCAGAGATCCAGGGATAGGGAGCACTTCTAAATTAGCCTGCTAGATGGTGCTGTAGGACACGCGCTACTCATTCAGGAGTGTGTTCCAGTTATCTCACATTTTTTTACCATAAGACAAAGGTACCATCATCTGCCTGACTTGAAATCTGTATGTATGAAACCTTGTTGCTACATTAGGAAAAAGGTTGACATTTAAATACAGAACTGAAAGTCATTCATTTTGCTTAATAATTTGTGTGGTCTTGCAGTCTGTTTTGCTTATGTGATTTCCAAAGGGGAAATGTGAATGTGGTCAGTCAGTGAGTGTCCACCAGCCTAAGATATAGACATGTTTCCCCTTGACATCTTCTTTCCTCTATGGAGTCTATTTATCTGATTTATCTGCCCTTCTATGCAAGTTTTTCCATAATCTATCCTCTATATATAATTTTTAATGGAGGGTAGTGTGAACCTTATAATTTCGGCACAAGTTTATACAACATTGCATGTCCCAGGTGTCAGATGAAAGAGAAATTGTGGGAGTTTGGTATTAGGAAAATACACTGTGTATGTCTGAAGAGTTGCATTGATAGCAGGAGGAGAGAGATTTCAAAGTCTGCAGGACATAGATCATCCACCAGTTACCTATGGATGCAGTCATGAAAACCAGGGAACTGGAGTGTGGACATTAGGGGGTTTTACAAGACATGAGGACAGAGAAGTCTGATGAAGAGCAGAGGAAATATTAGAAGGCAAAAAGATCTTGGTGTGAGATGTGTTGGCTGATCTGGGGCAGATCTTACTGTGAAGAAAGGGTGACTTGTGAGCCTGCTGTTAGGTGCAGCTCCCTGGCCCACTTTTCAATATTGCTGAGTGTAGTGCTTCAGTAATGAACACGCAGAAGCAGTGCGATGCTCTGAAGCAAAACATATGCCTAGAAAGTACCTGTACTAAGGTGGCTTATAATGCTCTGTGCTGGAACTGCTTCCAACTCAACAGAAAATGCATTGAAAATTCCTGTATTAAGTGACTTTTAAAGTTCTTGACAGGTGCCAAAAGGTTGAGCCTGTTCATACTTAAATAGTCATCTTATTGCACTGAAGGGGAAGAAGAGCTTGTGGCATGATGGGCCTTTCCAGCCTGACATTCTGAGCAAGTTGCCCATCTTCAAATTGCAGCAAATAGCACAGT